TTATCTGTGCTACTGATTCCTGCATGATATTTCTGGAGTCAATCTGTTGCTATGCTTAAAATTAAATGGAAGAGGCTGATGTATCCAATGGTTACTTCATCTTATAAATTATTCTGTAAAATGCTTGAAGCCTTGGAGCATAGTTATTTTTTAAAAAACATCAAAATGTAGTGTTCATTTTGGTCTTGATGACCCTGCCCTGCAGAGTTCGAGCTGTCCATTCTGCTCCTGGGCAAAGCAAAAGTGAATGTTTTCAGCACTCAATGAATGTGTGTACAGGTTCGGTTCAGTCATTCCTAACAGTAGTCCCCTGGGATTGACAAGGCCACTGACTAGTTAGGAGAACTTTAAGTACACATATAGCTTTCTTTTCTCTCTCTCTCTCTTTTTTTTTTTTTTTTTTGAGACAGAGCTTCACTCTGTTGCTCAGGCTGGAGTGCAGTGGCATGATCTCAGCTCACTGCAACCTCTGCCTCCTGTGTTCAAGTAATTCTCCTGCTCAGTCTCCCGAGTAGCTGGGACTACAGGCGCATACTGCCATGCCCAGCTACTTTTTGTTTTTGTATTTTAGTAGAGATGGGGTTTCACCATGTTGCCCAGGCTGGTCAGGAACTCCTGAGCTCAGGCAATCAGCCCGCCTCAGCCTTCAAGTGCTAGGATTACAGGCATGAGCCACTGTGCTCGGCCCATATATTGCTTTCTTAACTCTGACAGTAATTTTCATTTTTACTAAAATAATGGTTGTTATTCTGCTCTCCCATATTAAAAACATGATATATTGCTGTATAATTTACAAAGCACTTTCACATATATTATTATTATTTACTGAGATGAGGTCTCATTCTGTTGCCCAGGATGGAGTGCAATGGCAATGATCATAGCTCACTGCAGCATTGAACATCTGGCTTAAGCAATCCTTCTGCCTCAGTCTCCTGAGTAGCTGGAACTATAGGCATGTGCCACCATGCCTATTTTTTTTTTTTTTGCTAGAGATGGGATTTTGCTATATTGCCCAGACTGATCTCAAAGGATCCTCCCACCTTGGCCTCCCAAAGCTCTGGCTTTACAGGGGTGAGCTATCACATCTGGCCCACATTTATTGAGCACTTAGCAATGTGCCAGGCAATGTGCTAAGCACTTGATATGCATTATCTCACAGAATCTTCAAACCAAACCTATGACATAAGTACTGTTCACAGTATAGATAAGAAAATTAAAGAAACTAGCCCAAGGCCACAAAGCCACTAAGGGGTGAACCATGATTCAAACTTAGGTTTGTCTGGCTTCAGAAGTTAACTTCCTAACCACTGAATCATATTTCATCTGTTCCACTAAATACATTTTTCTGGGGCTTAGCAATGCCAGTTTACTTACCTAAGATTACCAACAAAGGAGTGGTAATACCAGGACTCAAACCCAAGCCATCGACACTAAGTCAGTGATCCTCCATCACCTTACACTGCCCCAAAATAACCCCAACAGTACCCCCGTCAGCAGTATTCACAGGCCAGACACAGGAGGAAAAAGGCGAGGCAAAAGGCTACCCAGGAGTCACAGGCATAGAATGCTGCTGGCACGTACGCCTGCTCTCTTTCCGTTTAAAGTCAAAAAGAAAACAGAGGAAAGAATGCACAAGATGTGGCAAGAAAAAAACTGAAACTGTATTACTTTACACTAATTTAAGGCAGCTGTATAACCTATATGTTAGGAGGCAGAGAGTTCAAATGACAGAAAAGAGGTAGTATATGGACTAAACAAGAATACATGTTTAAATATTTAAAGAACTTCTGAATCTTGATATGTGAAAGTCAGCAATAAAAATGAAAATCAATGAAATAAAGTTACTATATCTTTCTTTCATAAGAGAGACTAGGATAAGAAAAGTACACAAAAATTCTTAATATTGGAAGCTTTACAAAGCAATCTCTCAATGAGAGAAAAACTCCAAACTAGTAGTTATAAAAGTGTACATTTAGAGCCAGGTACAGTGGCCTGTGCCTATAATCCTGGCTACTTGGGAGAATGAGGCAGGATCACATGAGCCCAGTTCGAGTCCAGCCTGGGCAACACAGGAAGACCCCATCTCTAAAACAAACAAACAAACACATTCAATTTATGTAAGACAGATTATAAAATCCAAATTGTGCACAGGTCTAGAAGAGGTCAATAACCGGAATCAATTGCTTTTAAACAGTTAAAAATCCTTCTCTAAAAAGAATTAGGAGTACCAAAGCCTCCTGAAATCTAGCATGAACACTGAAATTAATGTTCAAAAAATAGGTTTTTTTCCTATTTTTTAAAATGCTATTTCATTTTTGAGATGAAGTCTTGCTATGTCGCCCAAGCTGATCTTGAACTCCTGAGCGCAAGTGATCTACCCACCTTGGCCTCTCAAAGTGCTGGGATTACAGGCGTGAGCCACTGTGCCCAACTCAAAAAAGCAAGTTATGATAAAACAATTTATTACAATTTTCTCTTCTTCAACAAGCTATTATTTCAGCTCTAACTCTGGTCATACACTTGTTTTTGGATCTCTGCTTCTTTCTCTGGCAACATACTCAAGAATTTAAATATTCACTGGGCTTTATGGAGCAGTAAATTCAGTATAATGTTTAAACAAATACTTCTAAAATATTTTTCAACAAATGTTTGTAAATGGATGTTGAAAGTAAGTCTGTTTTTTTTTTTTTTTTTTTTTTTAAATACTGCCATAGACCAGAGCGCCAGTCTGAGAGGCAGTTTAAACAGAACACAACTTCAAAAGCAAAACTCATTATGATGAATGTGTCAAGTGAAATTAGAAATCCACTAACGCTAATTGGATGTATTCTGAATGTATTAAACTTCTGAAGATATTTTTATGAACTCTTTGGAATTTCCTATTAACACCCACGCGTGGCTGCACTTTGGATGTACCCACAATTTGACACAATATAGGTTATTATGCGTAATAACTTTCGATCTCTCAGGGTGATTGCATAGTTTAAAGAAATGAGAAAAGCTACAGTGTGAAAACACTCCGTCCAAAAGGAAGGGAAAATGAAATATGAAAACGCTTGAAGAGTAATGACAGAGTAAACATGGTTGTGTTTTTTCAAATATAAGAATTATAGAGCCAGATGGTCACCATGAAAATCTAATACACAAAAATTAGAACTTGCCAGCCTATGGAAACACAAAATATTTCATGAATGGTTTTACAGACAAGTTCAAGAAGGGTTATCAATCAATAGATTACATTTCCAGAGTGGTCAGTGAGTAAATCCAAGGCATTCAAACAAAGTCCCCAGCTGGTAAAACTGATGTCACTGAGGACAATCCCGTTAGGTCCCCTGTAGTCTCTTGATACCTCTGTCAGAAGCAGCTCACTGGGCTTTATGGAAGGAAGGTCCGATAAGCAACACCAAAGTTCTTAGAAATCAAATGATAGCAGAGCAGGAAAAAAAAAACAAACCTCACAGTTTGGCATGTGTGAATATAAATATTAGATGCAGATAGAAAAGGTGCCTTAATGTTATAGGCAGTTACTAAACACACATAAATACAGCCTGTGGAATTGCCAAGGCATCAGACATCATTTTGGACAACTTAGATAGCATTATACAATGAGGGCATTATTCTTACAGGGGTCATTGATGCATGGACTCGTAAAATGATGACTATGTGGTGTTCATAACTATAAAGAGAAATTATGATATTAAATAATTATGATATTATAGAGACAAAAGCACTTCCTAGCTTCATTCCAGGAGTATCCTGGTGAGGGGTGGTATGTGACCACAAAGCAGGGGTGGGGTTAGGAACATTTGGCCACACACATGTACGCTGGGCTGGCTTTCCCCAGCTTCGGACAGCCCTAGCCTCATCTCTTTGCCCTCCCCATTGAGGGAGGTTATAAGGACATCTGCTTCACTACTGAGTTTTTTTCCCACTTCACATAAATATACTTAGCCTGTTTAGCCTGTGTCTGATGTTTAGTCTTCACAGAGGAGATGCTCAAGGCCAAAGATAACATGCAATGCCTTTTGTTCCACCTCAAAAAAAAAATACTTGTTGGCCGAGGAGGTAGGTAACAGGCCAAATTCTGATTTTCTTAATGCGATGAGGACTTTCCCTATTGCACAAGATACAAAATGTTTCTAATACAAAATGCCTATTTTTGCACATCTGCCCAATAACAGCTCAATTAAAAACAGGCCCATCAGATTGACAGTTTCCTTAACTGCTTAGTTCCTGCAGCACTGCAGATAGCAGAAAAGCACTTAATGGCAGCCACGAGGCAATTTTCCAGTAAGACTTGTTAATCTTTATACAGTCATCCTTATGCAGCCATCAAAGTGAACTTAATGACAAATCAGTTAAAATAAATTACTTTTAGGAACTTGTTTAAGCATCGGATAAAAAACAAACCATATGTGACATCTCTTTGGTCCTCACCGTGACAGCATATAATTGTCATCATCTGTGCTGTTTATTCCATTTGCCCGGCCTATCTGCTAACCCACCACTTCCAGAGCAGCTCTTTGCCCTTCTCTGTCCTGTTCTGGGCCCCAGGAGGCTGACCTCTATGCACCACAAGGCTGTGTCTGCATCAGCTGTGCCACTGCTCCCTGGCTTTCAGCTGGGCTCAGCCAATGAGAAGCACCAGAAAGAGATCAGAGAATGGGAGGAGGGATGGCAGGAAGGCCCCCCCCCCCCCCCCCCCCCCCCCCCGCTCCATTGCTCCTGCAGCCAGGCCACTCCTCGTCCTGGCTCAGGCTCTCCAGGGCTCTGATGTTACGCTCCCTCCCCTTACTCTGTCAGGCCCAGGTGTACTTCTAGCTTCCAGCTGCTGCTAGGCCCCAGGTGCCTCACTAGCCCTAGCTGGTTCCCATAACCCTGCCCACATCTCCATAAACAATCCCTTAACTAGTCTCTCTTCAGTCTAAACACCTGTTGTCGGCCAAGACCTTGGCTGACACACTGTCAGCAGCCAGAGGCTTCACGCTGGGATCACTTACATGGACCGTGTGGACGAGGTCGGCCACCAGGCACTGCTTCAGCTTCTCGTCACTGGCGGTCCCATGAAGCACAAGATCAGGCATGTATGTGGGGCAGTAGCCCGCCAGAAGTGAGCGGCCAAAGTTCCTTACGTTCTGGGTGCTGATGCTCTGAGACCTAAAACAACATGTGGCCCATTAAAATGCACAGCTGAAAATGTACTTTCTTCTTTCATTACAATTGGTACAAGCACTCCAATGACACAGGTAAATAAAATAGATTCAGGGTGGCCCATGTCACCAACCCTCCAGTAAGTGGATCACAGGCGGGAGAAAAGGGAGTTTTTTAAAGAAAAAAAACTATATCCATGGCTGGTCATGAGTTTGTTTTTGTACCTCATATTGGACATCCACCAGGCAGTCTGTGTCAAAATACTGACAAAAGAAAATATCTCAGGAAGGGCTCTTGCAAAAGCCTGGCTTTAGGAATCTGACATATCTGCACAGAATGGTGCCCATGACAGTGCGGAAGAACAGAAGAAATCTCTAATTACTGCTTTCAGTCATCACAGACCAAATAATCAACCTGATGAAGTGTTAAGGAAGAGGTGTTGTTTCCCAACCACCTCACGCTGCTCTGATCGGCAGGAGAGAGGCCACACGGCGAGTGTAATCCACCACCTCTGAAGCAAGGCATCTGCTGCCAGCCACGGACCTGCCCTGCAGTTGACAGAAAATTAAACTCCCTGTTCCCTCTCCCATCTCCACCACATCCCTTAGCTTCCCCAGAGGGTCATGATAGCTGCAAAGACAACCACTGGCCACCTGCCCCAGTGAGCTCAGTGGTACTAAGCCAGTGACCATCCTTGGAAGAAGGACAGGTGGGAAACCGTTTGTATAAAATTAATAATACTTCCAGTACCTTGTGGAAAAAAAGATATTGTGTGTAAAGCAGACAATAGTAGAAGCTAACACGATCACAGGCGTCAGGCCAAGAAAGTGGGATTTGAACCCAGTTCCCTCTACTTCCCAGCCTGCCGGAGTTACCTTGGCAGAGGCAGCTCCACTTCCAAGGACCCTCCAGTCCTGTCACCACCGTGACCCAGATCTAGCATGGCTGAAGTGCAAGCTTCATCGTCACTGTCTCCCAGGGCACTATCCGAGCTTTCATTTCGGGGAATGTCTCCTTCAGTCCTGAAGTTGGCCTTCTTGTTGTCATCCCCACAGGGGATATTTGCAGGAGCCACGAGGCCAGGGCCCCGCTGGACACAGCTGGCGGCAACAGGCTCCAGCACAGGTCCTTCCTCAGCCTTCACATACAAACCTGTAGCCGCCTCCAGCCTCCCCGGGGCAGTTCCTGCTACGCGGTGGGAGGCTGCGCCCAAGTCGGCAGTGTGGCTGAGCTGCCCGGCAGCATCTGCTGCTGTGTCGTTTCTGCTGCCTCTGTCCTCTGCAAAACCCTTGTCAGACTCGCCTTCATCCCCCTCTGAAGGCCGATTCTGAGGACAGCAGACATTCTCCTGAAAGCCAGGTTTGAAAGGGCTCCTAGAAATCTGCGGGTCCTGAGCTGTGTCAGCGGCCTCCCTGGCCTCCAAGGAGGGGCCACAGGCTTTCATCCGTTCCTCCATTTTTTTCATGCGGCTTTCAAAGTCAGACTCTGGAGATGTGGAGCTTCCTATCTGGAAAGTGACCTTTTCTATGGGAGGTTTCTCCCAAAGATGTCTGTCAGGGCAAGGCCAGGCCACTGACCGGTCTGGCAGTCTCGTAGACATCTCCACTTTCAACGGCTCACAGACAGCTTGCTGGTCCATCTTCATTCCTGCCCCCGAAACTTCACAGCTGGAAAGTCTTGAAGAGCCATCTTGCGGTACCTCTTTATTTTTTTCATCCCCACAAAATGCATTCTGAGGTTTCCAGGAAGCACCTGATGCTGGCCCCTGGCATCCTGTGCTGCAAGCCTCAAAACCCTGCTCTGGCCTCCGGTTAGCTTCTTTGTCAGGTTTAAGAACCAGGTCTCTACTGTCAGTGCCCTCTGGGCTCTCAGGAAACCCTGCCGGCCAGGGGTTCTGTCTCTCAGCTGCTGTTGGTGGTAGGATGGGGGGTACAAGAGCGGGCTCGTTCCTCACCGTAACGACCACATACTCGGACTCCTCCACCTCTCCTTTCTCCAAGGCTGTTATGATCTTGCTCCCATTTAAAACTTGGTCACCTTCACTGTGATTGCCACTCCAGGTCAGCTGGTTCTCTTGTAGCTCAGAGCAACGGAGAAAGTAGGTCAGGACATAAAGTATTCGCTGGACCAAGTCCTTCTGCTTCCCTACCACTACGGTGCGAGTCAGTCTCACTGGAGAGCCTATGGCTCCATAAAGATCACCTAGAGAGCAAAGGTGGACACAAAGGCAGTGGTCTCTGGGGTTAGCATGTCACAGATATATCAGCCTTTACAAGAGCAAAATAGATGACTTATATTCCCAATCTGGAATCCCTGCTTCAGACTCCTGATTTCTACTTTCTAGTAATGACCATGTTTTAGTTTTGCCCCTGTAAGAGAGTCAGCCTGGACACAGGCTGCAGCCCACCACCCCTGGTGTGTGGGAGTCGTGCTGCTGTGCACACAGCCCCTACCAGTGCCTGCTGGGTCTTCCCTGCAGCTCAATGGGTCAGCCAATGAGATGGCCCAAAGAAGGTTAAACCCAGAGTTCTGAATATGTGACCAGATCTAATACTGTATCTTGGAAACTGGAAATAATAAGAATTTGTTGGAAGAATCCCAGGACATTGGGCCTTGGGATGAAATCCAAATTCAGGAGTTTCTCAACAGAAGTGCAGTGAATTAATTCAAAATACTTAATGAGGTGGTCTACATAGATTTCTCTTAATACACATACACACACTAAGCAGAATCAGTTTGACTAACAAGAAGAAAATCACTCAGTCATTAGTGAGTCTGAAGGTTTTAATTCGCTTGAAAATTCACCTGAGCCAGGCGCAGTGGTTTATGCCTGTAATACCAGCACTTTGGGAGGCTGAGGCAGGCGATCACCTGAGGTCAAGAGTTCAAGAGCAGCCTGGCCAACATGGCAAAACCCCGTCTCTACCCAAAATACAAAAATTAGGCGAGCGTGGTGGTGTGCACCTGCAGTCCCAGCTACTTGAGAGGTCGAGGCAGGAGAATTGCTTGAACCTGGAAGCCAGAGGTTACAGTGAGCCAAGATGGCACCACTGCACTCCAGCCTGGGTGACACAGTGAGACTCTGTCTCAGAAAAAAAAGAAAAGAAAATTCAACTGGAAAAAAATATGTCCCATTAGCTATATCCTGACAAGTTGATTAAAAACTGACTAATGTACTGTGAGCTCTACCGTCAGCTTAAGGAGGAGAGAATAAGGGTAAATGTGTCATCCAACCACCCAGCAATAAGCTTTTCATCAAAAGTACTTAAGTGCCTAACTATTAAAACTACGGCATTTGATAATTTGATTATTACACTTTATAATAAGTTATACATATGATATGATGTGATGGAAAATTATAATAAAGCACCCACGTTTACTAACTGGACAGGCACTGTATTAAAATCCTAAAGATGTATCTCAGCTGGGTGTGGTGGCTCACGCCTGTAATCCCAGCACTTTGGGAGGCTGAGGTGGGTAGATCACCTGAGGTCAGGAGCTTGAGACCAGCCTGGCCAACATGGTGAAACCCCGTCTCTGCCAAAAATACAAAAAATTAGCCAGGCGTGATGACAGGCACCTGTAATCCCAGCTACTTGGGAGGCTGAGGCAGGAGAAGGACTTGAATCCAGGAGGCAGAGGTTGCAGTGAGCCATGGTGACATCACTGCACTCCAGCCTGGGCTACAAGAGCAAAACTCTGTCTCAAAAAAAAAAAAAAAAAAAAAAAAAAAAAAAAAAAAAGATATCTCATTGTATCTTTGTATAACCAAACTGGAATTAGAAACCCACTGAAGAATAACTAGAGGGCTGGGCATGGTGGCTCACGCCTGTAATCCCAGCACTTTGGGAGGCCAAGGTGGCGGATCACTTGAGGTCAGGAGTTCGAGACCAGCCTGGCCAACAGGGTGAAACCCTGTCTCTACCCAAAATACAAAAATTAGCCAGGTGTGGTGGCAGACACCTGTAACCTAGCTACTTGGGAGGCTGAAGCAGGAGAATCGCTTGAGCCCGGGAGGCGGAGGTTGCAGTGAGCCGAGATTACACCATTTACACCATTGCACTCCAGCCTGGGCGACAGAGCAAGACTCTGTCTCAAAAAAAAAAAAAAAAAAAAAAAAAAAAAAACCAACCAGAATGTTGGAACAAATCAAAAGCTGAAAAGATACTAAATAAAGGAGGAGAAGTGATACATGTTAATCGGCATAAATCAGAATTTAGGAAGTTAGAACCCCTCTGAGGAATGCATCTAGAGAGGAGGGAAAGCAGTTATAAGGGCATATACTGGATAAAACTAATTAAAATAGATGAGTATGGAAAAAAAGTGATGAGAACCATCGGAAAGTACCTCCCCAGGGACCCATTAGGAAATACCTCCTTCTGCGAGTAGTCCCTCGTGTACGGTTCCTAAGAACATTCAAAGGGCAGGACAGAAATAATAATAAACAATCCTCTCTATAAAATGACTAGATTACAGGCTGATAGAGTTTTAATTGAGAGGACTTTGCAAGTGACTGAGAAATCAGCCTAGAATTCAAGACAGTAACTCAGAATTGTAGGCCGAAGCTAGGATTTCTGTTTGAGAAAACCTTCCTAAGAGCTCATTACTGTTACTTTGATTACATCTGCCTACTGCTGCAGGATATCAACAGTCGTTTCAGGAATTCATGAAATATTTTTTGTTAAATCAGTTTCAATATTAATAAAGAAGCAGCATTACTTATCCAAAATCTGGCATAACAAACTACAGGGGTAAGAACACTTAGAATATGATTTTTTAGCAATGCATTTGAGTATTGCACATTTTAATAACTAAGGAATAAATGGAAATGGTAAAACAAGGAAGGTTATTAAAAATACAATTTATAATCACTTAAACTATATAAAATAATGAGTGCAATGTGACTGGAACCAGTGCTAATATATTATAGCCAAACTTCATAAAATAAAGCATTTTTAAAACAATAGACCCACAATATTAAATATTTACTGGAAGTTGAAGGCAATTTTTTTTTGAGTCCTGGGTAATTGAAGCTGATTTTTAGAGTAGATTTGTTTTCATGAGTATAATTTTTTAAAATGAAGAAATTGCACAACAACATGAATGTACTTAACATGACTGAACTGTGTACACTTCGAAATGGTTAAGATAATAAACGTTGTTATATGCTTTTTACCTCAATTAAAAATAAAAATTTAAAAGAGACGCAAATGGGGAAAAAGCAGAAGAAAAAGTGAAGGAGTCAAGAGGGCTTACAAGTGAAACAGGCCAAAGACAGAGTGCACGGAAGCAGGAAAGGTGCTGGACGAAGTAGGAGGAGAGGTCACAGAAAGCAACGGTAGCAAACAGGGACACAGAGTTGAGACTCAGGGAGGGAGAGACAGAGGGAGTAGAGAGACAGAGGAAACTAGGAAGAAAGAGGGAAGAATAGAGAGAAGGGAAAGCAGAAAGAAAAAAGATGGGATGTTAGAGAGGTGCAAAATGATAGAGAACTGGGGTGAAGCCAAAAGAGGATGGAGAAGGAGAGGCGATAACAGCCAGGAGGGTAAAACAAGTAGAGAAAAAGAAAACAAAGAGGGAGGAAGAGGGAGAAGAAAGGAAAGAACTATTGAGGGGAACAATAGTGAAAAGTTGGAAACTAGAAAGAGAGGAAAGAATGAGGTGGAGAAGCTGAGAGAAGTTAGAAGTTCTGTAAAGAAAGCATGGTGAAAGAAAGGGGGTTAGAGAGGTAGGGGACTATACAGACAGAAACAAAAATAAACAAGGAGAAGCTGAGAGAGAACAAAAATAGGAGACGAGAAGAGAGTTAAGGATCTTAAAGGCACACTTATTCCTGATCACATTCTAATAATGTCTATGTTGTAGAATTCCCCTTTCAACAGTGTTTCCTTATACCCTACACAGTTTAACTTATCTCATCTTTATTATCATTATTTCAAATGTTTTCTAATTTCTTTTGTGCAATTTGTTTGGCTTGTGGGTTATTTAAATGTGGTTTTCAGCTGGGTACGGCGGCTGACACCTGTAATCCCAGCATTTTGGGAGGCAGAGGCAGGTAGATCGCTTGATCCCAGTTCGAGACCAGCCTGCAAAACATGGTGAAACTCTGCCTTTACAAAAAATGCAAAAATTAGCTGGGCATGTTGACGCACATCTGTAGTCCCAGCCACCAGGGAGGCTGAGGTGGGAGGATCACTTGAGCCCATGGTTGGGGCTGTGGTGAGCCTTCATTGTACCACTGCACTCCAGCCTGGGTGACAGAGTGAGACTCTGTCTCAAAAACAACAACAACAACAAAAATACATGGTTTGATTTCTGAGACAGTGAGAATTAAAAAAAAAATTGATTTGTAGTCTAATTCCACTGCATTTTGAAAAATACAAGGTAAACTTCTGAGAAAAAAATTTCACACATTTTCACTTATATTAAATCAGTGGTCCAAATCTCTTTTGGGTAGAAAAGGTCCTTTTCATTTCCACAAACTCTTAACTCTTAAGTTCCATATAGGTCAAAAAGAGACTATGGAACTACTTCAGTCAGTGGTGTAGACAGCAGCATTCAAACTTTGTATACCTATTCCAAGAAAGAAATACATTTTATACTGCAACCTCAATGCACCTTTTGAAACAGACATTTTACAAAGTATACATGTAAGTCACTGATATTTTCTATTCTATTACACCAATTAAATGCTTTTTAATTAAACCCACTAAATTGTTTCCACAGCCCACTAACGGGTGGCATCACATTGTACACAGGGAAGTGGCTGGGCAGAAGCAAGGATCACCGAGCTCCTGAGCAGCAAGCCTGTGAAAGTGGCATCCAGCCTCCCCCCCTCTTCCCTGGTAGTGCTGAGCAGCCATGGAGGGGGAACACACAGTGGCGCCTGTCCTGGAAAGCTCTCAGAGGAGTCTTTGGAATGATTCCAGATAGTCTTCTCTATACTTAGGAACCTGGATTGAAATTATATCTGCATCACTGTGTATTCCCAGAAGTTTCTATTTTCATGTTTACTGTGACTTGCTAAATACTGAATGAGAACAATGAAATGTGAAGCAAGTGCTTCTACCTGTCAAATTATTGAAGGCCCCCCGACTTCATTGTAATAATGGAAACTCGGCCATCACTCACACTTGGCTTTACAAAGCTATCACAGGCCTTCGCTGACCAGAAACTATCACAGGCCTTTGATGCCCAGGGCCTTGTCCCCTCCTCACACTCCTCCTGTCAATAGCCAGACCCCTCATGGATTGTTTGGGGGAAGGGAGGACTGAAGACTTTCAGCAATACATGATCTCCTCTGAAAGACGAGGATTGTGAACCTACAGGAAAAGACTCTTCCTTGTTATGCTGAACATAGGAAATTAATGGCTCTCAGTTATGTTTCAGATGAGAAGCACACCTAATTATGAGTACATTGATTTAACTAAATGCACACTACTTAATTAGCATTGTTTTAAAATGGGTGACCCAGCAGCATGGAATACAATGTTCCCTTAATATCCAGCCCCCTTTCCTTCTCCACTTAATGAGCCTACGTTTCTTTCAAGACTATTATTGTTCTATAATAAAAACAGCCATGTTCTGTCTTCCCCAGGAAAAACTTCCTGTATGACCAAGAATGAGTTAGGCATGTTCTGAGTAATGATCAAATCAGGGCAATTAGCATATCCATCACCCCAAACTTTTATCATTTCTTTGTGTTGGGAACATTTGAAACCTTTCTTCTAGCTTTCTCTGAAAATAAGCTATTAACTATCCTAATCCAATGCTAAAGAACACTAGAACTTATTCCTCCTATCCAGTTGTAATTTTGTATTTGTTAACTAGCCTCTCTCCATATCCCCCCTCCCTTAAGTCCATTTAAATATCCATAAATTCTTTAATTGATTTAGAACATGCCTTTTACCCCTAACCACGAGGGGGCTTATATTCGCTTATACATCTCACGACCAAGAGCACAAGGACAAGACAACATCTGTACTGTTACAAAATGAGGCTGAGAGTAATAAGTGTAGGGATGAGAATCTAATGAATATGTGTAAAACCAGTGCTTGGCTCATAGTGTCAGCTTTCATTATTGTTATTATAACATGCTGCTTTCCAGGATGAGGTGCTTTTCTGTGGATATTTTTGATTGTTATAACTTTGGGTGGGAGGTGGGAGGGGCAGTTCTACCAGCATCTAGTAAATGGAGGCCAAGGATGCCACTCAACATCTGTTAATGCATAAAACAGCTCTTCCTACACCCCACAACTCAACCAACAAAGAATTATCTGATCAACAGTGCTGAGGTTAAGAAATCTTACTTGAGGGTGAACAGCCGCTGTGGAATGGGAGAACACAGTTGGCTTACACTGCTTTAAGAGTGTAGCACAAAGCTGCCACTTGGGGTAAGGAGAGGAAGGTGGTGGCCTTACAATTAGAATCCAGGGACCAACTTCCTATTCCTCATCTGCCCAGTGACAACTTATGAACTATTGGGTGAGAGAGCCAGTATAAACTACAAATTCTAGCTTTTTTTTTCCTATTCCATCCTATATATTCTCTGAATAGTCAAATTAGGTACTAACCCAGCTGTGCCCAGAGAGGATTATATGGATGTGTTTTGGCCAGCATGTTCACTGACTGGGAGGTACGTTTCTCTGAGAAGGCTTTAATGGGAGGGTGATCCACAGGCATGACAGTTGGGACCCAGGCCAGGTGGTAGGTTAACACTGCAGTCAGTAAGGCAGCAAAAAACCTTGGAGAAATGGAAAAAGATACAACCAACTTAGTCAATACAGAAAGAGGCACGTCCTATGCAGAACATACATTGGTTATGGGATTTGCATACAAGTCTCCAGAGAGTTGAAGCTTACTGGTTTTTATTGATCTGTTCTATCAGAAGCGTAAACTCCTTGAGAAAGCGCTGGCAGAGCTGGTTTTTTTCCAAAGTGCCAGACATCATGGTAAGCCATACAGGTTCAGCTATCCTTGGAACAGAATATAAGTTCCAGATAGTTCCTCTATAGAACAGAAAGAGAGGGAAACACAAAAGTGTCAGAAATACTATTTTGGATAACCTTGGTGTAAAAGAATAAAGGAGAAAACAACGTGAATCTATGTAGTCCTTAAAAGATTCAAGCTCCACACATAACAGGGGTTGGCACATTGTGGCCCACAGGCCAAATCTGACTGCCACCTTTCTTTGTAAGTAAAAAATTTTACCAGGTCCCAGCCATACTCATTCATTTACTTATTTACTGTCTATGGCTGCTTCCGTGGGACAACAGCTAAGTTGGGTTGCTACTACAGAGACTCTACAGAAACTGAAAGTACAGAACTAGAAAGCCTCGCTTTCAGCTTCTTGACCTTTGAAAAATGGACACATCATTAAAGTAGGACCCAGATTCTCGGCTGGGCGTGGTGGCTCATGCCTGTAATCCCAACACTTTGGAGCGCTGAGGTGGTAGATTACAAGGTCAAGAGACTGAGAACATTCTGGCCAACATGGTGAAACCCCATCTCTACTAAAAATACAAAAATTAGCTGGGTGTGGTGGCAGGCACCTGTAAACCCAGCTACTCAGGAGGCTGAGGCAGGAAAATCGCTTGAACCCAGGAGGTGAAGGTTGCAGTGAGCCGAGAGTGCACCACTGCACTCCAGCCTGGTGACAGAGCGAGACTTAGTCTAAAAAAACAGGAAAAAGAAAAAAAAAGTAGGACCCAGATTCTCAAGCGCAAGCCAGTGTCCAGTCTGACCACAGCAGAGCAACAGGCAAATCTCTAGTGCTTTCCCAAAAAATTATGGAAGGTGTACTAATCATCAGATTGCCATCAAAGAGCACAACTTTATGTCATTCTCAAATATATGACTTAAGTCTTAGCGATCACCAGATAATGAGTAACATGTTACTTGAGTACTTTAACACATAACCCAGAGTTAAAAAAGGCTTGTGATTTTGCTCCAGGTAGCATTATAGAGTTCACCAACATATACGTTAAGCATCATAAAAGTGTTCTAACATTCAAAGGATTATAAATCTTTTTTCTCCTTCAGCTACGGAGTAACAGTTTGACTCATTAGCTCATGACTGCTTTGGAGTGGGATTCCATTCCCCACCAAGAAAGCGGCTCTAAATGGTGCAACAATCCCAACTCAGCATGATGAAAGAGGATCCCACCTGCTACCCAACACAATTTACCTTTCCATGCAGATACAAGGAGCAAGGACTCCCTTTCCACACAGATACTAGGAGCGAGGACTCTAGACACCAGTTTCCAGAGGACACTGGGTATAAACTAGGACTGTCCTGGCAAACTGGAATGTATGTCTCCCCGACATGCATAACCTCTCCATCTGTGCTTTGAATAAGCATCTGTGAACTCAAGTTTCCACATCTGTAAAACGGGGTTAGTAGTGCTTAGGGCTTTTGTGAGGCTGACATACAATAATGAATAGACTGGTGAGAGATACCTGAACATTAGTTTTCCCCATTCATCCTGATAAAAACAATCCTATCAGGGACTGTCGGTCGAGCAGTAGTGAGGATTACTTATTGGTAAATTATTTAAATTTTTTGCTTCATTTGTTCTGTTTCCACCTTGAAGAGCGGAACCACAAAAGTAAGGAATAACTGCCAGGCCCCCAATTCTTCCAAGTTACAGTTTCTCTTTATCCATGGCTGCTCATAAATATTTCCTGCTGGATTTGCCAAACTTTGCCACTTTACCTGAATTCTCCCAGAGCTTCCATCAAACGGCTGACGTAAAACTGGACTCGGAGACTTGATTCTGCTATTTTCCTACAGGAGATCATAGCCTTTGTTGAAGAGAAAGCAAGCCAAATTACTGAGAAGAAATTTTATAACTTATCTACTGGGCTTTATTAATAAAAAATATGTAATCAATTAACAACACTCAAGGTAATAATGCCTTCAGTCATGAAAAAGCAGTAATTTCTTTCCCTAAGGCAACCCAGTATCTGGTAACTAACATCAACATGCCTAAGAATTTATCACTGCTACGGGTGATTTAACTTCCTTAGGAAAGCCATCTGATACATAAAGAGAGAAATTCTGCCATTTTCAAAGCCCCACAATCACTTCTCTATTTGACTTTGGATTACATCCTTATTACCTTTTCAATTGCACTCTTCAGCCTGTTCATGTGAGATTCAAACAGGGGAAAATGAGAAAAGAAGAAGTCCTGGAAATTCCTTTGTGCTTCTTCTTTCTCACATAGGGAAAAGATGATGCTTATGGCAATTTTCTTCCTCCTAACCATAGATGGATTAGAACTACAGGTTTCTTCAGCCAAGCTGAATGTCTCATCAGTTGACCTGGAGGGAAATATAAGTTTGAAAAGTTGCCATGCATCAATGAGTCACACTGATGGTCAACTGTAATGACTGGGGATGACACCCAGAACATTCAGTCGTAACTAAGAGTATATCCGCCTTTAGTTCATTCTCTTCTATAATTCTCTGGCATGAAGATGAGAACGTCAGCTTGCTTGCCACACAGTATTATCCTAATATGGAAAGAAACTCAAACGAAGGCTACAAGTAATTTAAATTTCCTGTTGTTACTCTTGTCCTTTTCCTTTGGATCATTTTATGTCAAACTGATGATATTTAAGAAGGAATATGAAATATCTGTTTACCCAAAACACAGTCGCTTTATTTTGGCTGACAGATACCAATAGATAAGACGTCAAAAGAGGAATGATCCTACATGGTATTCTGTTGAACAAGAGTATCACATTTGAACATGTACTGGTACTTCCAGGATTACTTTTCCAGGGCTATTAAAACTACTAGATCAAGTAACTCTTCTAAATGCTCAGATTAAGCCATGTGATTAAGCTCTCTGAAAATCCTTCAAGTAGAAACACTTACCTCTCTTCTGCTACAGCAAAATTTTCAAAAAACCTATGATTCTTTTGACTCAGCTTCTGTGATGACAGCCATGTAGCCCAAAACTTCTAAATATATATTTAGTCTTACAGGGTAAGCCTCACAAAAATGGCCTAACCATGTCTCTTACTTAACTACTGTGGAAAGCCAGTGTAGCTACCAAATAGCTACTAACAGCAAGCATACAAATAAAATATTTTTTTTCCTACAAAAACACCAACACAAAGGACCTAACATTGCAAATGAGAGCCCTACACGGGCAATACATTTTCTCTTTCTCACTAACTCCATCATTTAGTCTCATATCTCTGCCAAATATGGAAAGGTACTGCTTCCTCCATTTTCTTGACTATAAATTACAACATAACAATTACTCATGCTGGGCAGAATATGAGAATTAGCCTTCTGCCCCGGTCTTCAACTTATTTACTTAGGGCTCTACTCATGGTCTTTAATGCTTGTGTGATTTCAAATAAACCCAGATTTTATCATTAAACATACATAGGCCAAAAGTGTTATGGTCAGGAATGCTATTAATTAATTAATTTTGGGAGGACAGGGTCTCACTCTGTCACCCATGCTGGGGTGTAGTAGTGTGATCATGGCTCACTGCAGCCTCAATTACCTAGGTTCAAATGATCCTCCCACCAGCCTCCCAAGTAGCTGGGACTACGACCATAGGCACACACCACCGTGCCCAGCTACATTTTCTTTTTTTTTTTTTTTTTGGTAAAGATGGAGTCTCCCTATGTTGCCCAAGCTGGTCTTGAACTCCTGGGCTCAAGTGATCCTTCCACCTCACTGTCCCAAAGTGCTGGGATTACAGCTGTGAGCCACTGCATCTGGCTATTTTACTTTTAAAGGAAAGGAGATAGACATCTTATTCTAACCTCGTTATATGTTACTATTTCCCTTAACTTCAAGCAAGATCCTGGAGATGTAGTTATGGTTGGTAAATCAGTAAAAGGTTTTCACTCCAGATGTGTCACTAATGGCACATAGTGCTCTTATAAATGCTACACATTACAATCGTCAATTGCTTTCTCCGGGAAATCCCTAGATTCTAATCATCAGAGAAAATTCTTGAGGTTTCCTTAGAACTTCACACAATTTCATACAACGTTCTCTCTTCTTTACCAAGGTATTGGTGCTAAAGCCTTGTTTTCTTGCACTACAGTAGTTGATTTCTGTTCTGTATAGGAAATTCTTCTGCGTTTATATTACAATAAGGCTTGCTTGCAATCCTTTCCTCTTTGTCTGTCATCTTACATTTCCCTTCTTTTTCAAAAGTAAAATGGCCATATCAGTCCACTCATTTTTAGGCCAGCTTTAATAATCAAACTGTCATAAACACTGAACCCAATACAGTTTCTCATCATCATCATCTCCACCCTATAAACAATAGCCAATGCTCTCATCAGTTTTAACGTAGGAGAGAGTGCCACCTGCTGAATTTCTGAAAAACTTCCATAGCTGTAACAGTGGAGAACTTACTTGCTTTACTATATCCCTCCACTGAATTTTAAATCTACTGAGTTTCATTCTGTAGTTTTTTTTTTTTTTTTTTTTTTTTTGAGACGGAGTCTCGCTCTTGTTGCCCAGGCTGGAGTGCAACAGCGCGATCTCTGCTCACTGCCAGCTCCGCCTCCCAGGTTCACGCCATTCTCCCGCCTCAGCCTCCCGAGTAGCTGGGAGTACAGGCACCCTCCACCACGCCTGGCTAATTTTTTGTATTTTTAGTAGAGACGGGGTTTCACTATGTCAGCCAGGATGGTCTCAATCTCCTGACCTCGTGATCCGCCTGCCTTGGCCTCCCAAAGTGCTGGGATAACAGGTGTGACCCACCGTGCCCGGCCTCATTCTGTAGTCTTGGATCAACCATGCAACGTGGAATAAATCAGGTCATGTAGTATCTTACTTATAATTTAAGAAGTATTCTACAATAAAAGGATGTTTAAGAATGTTTTCAAAAATTTAAGTGTGTGCCCCAGTACTTCATCATACTTTTATCTCCATGTCACCAGAGAAGGTACACAGGCTGTACTGAAAATGTGGAAACTGAGGCAGAGTGCTGCCTCAACCTTCCTCGGGAACAGAAAGGTTCTCATTAACATTGCTGGAGTTAGAACCCAGGATTTCTATCTTCTAGTCTAGGCTAATTACTTGGATACTGGCAATGACCAGGGATTCTGACCCCATGCCTAATCTGTCTGCTGCTGCTCATGCTAGCCAATGCATCATGCCATGCAGAGCACTGAGGGAAGGAACTGGAAGCAGTCTGATGAGCTGACAGCCCTGAGAGTCAAGGAAAGGCTGCAGCTACACACAATTTTTTTCCTAACAAAGAAATCAAATAGAATTTTGTTAACACTTATGGATAAGCATTTATGTACATTGTAAGTACTTCAAGATCATAAATAATTAAAGCAAAAATGGCTAATTAAGTACATCTCAACAATCTATCATTGATATCAGGACTCCTTAGTCTAATTGTTATTTACGTCAGTTTTGAACTTATACTGAATCGATGTATTACACTGGACTATATGAAATTAATGTTTTGTAGGTCAAAGAACACCCCATCAGCAACTTTATAAGGTTGGTCCAATTTAATAATTCAAATCAAAGGCTTCCTGGGACATTATACCTTTCTCTTTAGGGTTTCAATTGCCTCGGCAAGTGATGGAATCCCTGAGGTTAGCTGTTAAATGCCCAAGCCCCATTCCCCATTCGGTAATCAAAGCCTGCCACTTGGCACAGCAGGGAGCCCTGAGGTCAGTGTGGAGCCAACTGTTAAGAATTGTGAATATTGAAAACATTCATTCTATTTTACAGAATATAGTGTTGCCCGATTCTAACAAAAACCAGAAACTGTGAATATCATCCCTGCTACCTTTAACTCTCTTAGGAAGGACATTTTTAACTACCATGAATCTTCTGTCAAAGCCAGAAGCAATCACAACGTTTGGTACCCACTGTTCTCCTGTCTCCAGCATAAAAAATGAATTTTCACAACCACATACCTGCCAAAAGGGAGAGATCAACTACAACATCCTTTAAATGAAGTGATCTTAGGCCGGACGAGGTGGCTCAGGCCTGTAATCCCAGCACTTTGGGAGGCTGAAGTGGGAGGATCACGAGGTCAAGAGATTGAGACCATCCCGGCCAACATGGTGAAACACCATCTCTACTAAAAATACAAAAATTAGCTGGGCGTGGTGGCACATGCCTGTAATCCCAGCTACTCAGGAGGCTGAGGCAGGGGAATCGCTTGAACCCGGGAGAAAGAGGTTGCAGTGAGCCAAGATCGCGCCATTGCACTCCAGCCTGGCGACAAAGCGAGACTCCATCTCAAAAAACAAAAGGGATCTTCACAGGCACAGTGACCAATTCAAAACGTCTGCTACACTCACGTTCTTGGTGTTCAGCAGTACTCCACTAAGGGCTTGCTGCATGGGCATGCGACCCGGCACACACAGGGTCCCCCTTTCACAAGAGTCCCAGGCTTCATTTAATGTTCTGTGATCACCATCTTGAATTTTAAATAATTTTATCTTTGAACTTTTGTGCTGTAAGTGAAGTCTAATGGGACAATGAAGCATGTGTTGGGATGAAGTCTAATGAGACAATGAAGCTCAGAAATAGATACTCCAAAGTATGACACTTTGGTATGCTGAGTACTTTGAACTGAAGGACAGGGGCTCAGAAGCAAGACCTTGCTTTTCTGACCTTATCCTGCCCTTCCTTTTCCTACTCCTCTTTCTCCCCAAAGGCACAGAAACTAAGATTCCTGTTCCCCAAGGTAAATAAAAAAAACATGAGCCTCTTTTTTCTCCAAAGCCAACTGTAAAATTTATTATAGAAATACTATTCTAACTTCCTCCCACCTTTGTAAGTGCTGGTCACAAAAAATTTCTCTGACCTACCTTGCCTGAAAATAGATGATAAGACCATTCCATTGCAGAGGGGTCTTACCCTCTACCTGGGAGGAAGGAATGCTATACAGAGAGGTCAAAAAGAATTCCGACAAGACAGGCCCCGCTGGGTTTTCCTGCTTAAGTCTATTACCAGTAGATCATCTCTGTCCAATCACATTTCTACATGGCAGTCCATTCTTTGTTGAACTTAAGCATAAAAATACAGTTCTCCTTGGGTCCTTCAATCTTCATGTCTGAAGGCTCCATGTCATGTGAAACTCTGACTGAATAAAATTGTTGTTTCTCTCTTGTTAACCTGTATTTGTTTTTTTTTTTTTTTTGAGACGGAGTCTGGCTCTGTCGCCCCGGCTAGAGTGCAGTGGCCGGATCTCAGCTCACTGCAAGCTCCGCCCCCCGGGTTTACGCCATTCTCCTGCCTCAGCCTCCTGAGTAGCTAGGACTACAGGCACCCGCCGCCTCGCCCGGCTAGTTTTTTGTATTTTTTTTTTTTAGTAGAGACGGGGTTTCACCGTGTTCGCCAGGATGGTCTCGATCTCCTGACCTCGTGATCCGCCCGTCTCGGCCTCCCAAAGTGCTGGGATTACAGGCTTGAGCCACCGCGCCCGGCCAACCTGTATTTGTTATAGGAGTGTCAGCCATGACCCTTATGATGGGGAGGGCATGGATGAACTCAGAACCCAGGGCTTGCAGCCCAGACACCAAGCAACTGGCCTGGCAGTCAGGCACATACCCATAAGCCTGGGGCAGGCCATGGTGTTACAAGACTCTAAGTGGCACAGCCGGGTCTTGGACCCACACTGATGGCTGTGACTATGGTGACAGCAGAAGCTGCAGAGGCCATGGTTGTGGGAGATAGGGGAACGGAGAGAGGAGGGACTCTGGTAGCACCAGGAACCAGGGTGGAAGGCCAGCTTGCCCATCAGTCACCGGAGCCTGTCCCTGTAGAGTCTGCACAGATATTAACTCTCTGACCTGAGCCCCAGGACAGAAAATTATCACAAAGTAAAAGCCTACATGGGGACATTGCAATAAAGAATATCAGGGAGTTATTACAATTCTGCAAAGAGTTTAGTCTCTGTTTTTGAAAACTGCTGCAACACTGCAAAGTAAATATTCATAGGCATAGAAATAGAAATTGAATGTAAAGATTGTTATGCTGGAAAAAACCACACTGTTTTCATATGAAGCTTCAGATGAACAAATTATTAAAGAGGAAGGCTTTTTTAAAATTAATTTTTCCTCGTAATTGAGGACACAGTGATAGAATGCATAAACAGGCATTTTGAATTATATATAACTCATGAGAACATTTTTAGTTTCTTGTAAGATCTCCACAAGTTACAGGAAATGTCAGAAGAAATATTAAAATAAGCTTGTATAAATTTACATCTAAAATTAAATTCAGACTTACTCAAAATGGATTTGTGTGAAGAATTAAATCTTTTAAAAAACTGTTTAACAAGAATCATCTGATGCAGATGTACTAAAATTTACATCTTGAAAGTTTATCAAAAATTTATCCAAATGTTGTTATAGTCCATAAAGCTATGTAACACTGCATCAGCAGAAAGATCCTTCTCCAAGTAAAAAATTATCAAAAATTATTTGCCACCTTGCATTTGCTGGGAGTGACTATCACTTTCAATTATATCCATTGAAAGCCAAGTTGCTAAAACCATAAACTTTGATGACCAAACAAATGTATTTGCAGAAAAGGCTTACAACACCAGATATCACATAAAGTATTCTTAAAGAAAAACTTTTTTCCTTTTTAGTCCCTTTAATAACACTTTTCTTGTTTTTGAGTAAGAGGCACCACATTTTTATTTTGCACTGGTCCCATAAATTAGGTAGCCAGCCTTGACTGTATTCACAACCTTTCTGAATGTGAGATACTTATTTTAGGTATAAGAGTTCACTAGAGATTCACTAGTTCCCAATGCCAGATCTCAATTCAAATTAGTTTTGAAGAATTTCGAAGGAATTGAGAAACATTATTTCAACTTTGGATTTAAGCCTGAAGGGATAAAAAAACATTTTCAGAAAAGAGATGTTGAAAGAGGATGGTTTCCAAGACTCATCTCTTCCAATCACAGAAGCTGTCATAATGACAGTGAGGATGGTGGCGGTGCCATCTCCTGATAGTCGCAGTAATGGTAATGACAATGATAGCAATAATTATAGTAAATAAATCACATTGGCCATATTTTATTGCCCATATCCTATGTCTTGGCTAAACACTGGACTTGCTTTATCTCATTTAACCCTCCCAGCCACAATCTGAAGCTGTGCTAGTATTATTATATTGCAGATGATGATGCAACACTCAGAATCCAGGTTAACTTATTCTATCATACATCTAGTGAGTGACAGGGCTAGGACTTGTGTTCACACAGAATTCCAAGCTTTTAATCATTTCATTCAAAGTCCACCAACCAAAAAGTAGCTTCTTGATGGGTGGCAAAGGTATAACTTTTTCTTTCCAGCTAGCTCCCTAGGATTGTGAAAGGAACAGAAGCGAGGCAAGCAACCTGATGTGTGCTACTCACATACCCTGACCCCTCAGTTTCTCAGCTCGTCTCTTCAGTGCCATCTCTTGCAGGAAGGGCTCCCTAATTCCCCCCATGACCATCACTGTATTTCCTCCATCCTGAGTCTCATAGCACTTTATGTCTTCCTATGATATTTACCACGTAACATCTTTATACCATTATTTATGTGTGTACGATCTCGTAAACTATTCAAGTACAGGCACATGCTAAACTATCTTATACCTTCACAGATCCCTACGTATGGTGAGTACCAGTCAATTTACTAAATCAGTTAATTGACATGTGAATTTTTATAGGTACACATGAAAATTCCCCTCCAAGTATTTGGATTATAGGAAGAACAAGTTGGAAGCTATGAATGTAACATCAAATGTACATTTTGCACACAACTAACCTTTAGATCCAAAAACCAACTGAAATGAAGACAGAAAATACCTAGATGCCATCTCTATTTAAAATCATGTTCATATCTGTTTAGTTTAAGAATTTACGTATCACAAACCCTTGACTTCATATATTTTTGAATACAAAACTGGTATCACTGTAGCCAAGGAAGAGACTGATCCACCCTTCATTACTTTTATAAGCTACATCTGGAAGGGACCCACTTTACAGAGAGCGCACCATTTTAAAAGAACACCCAATCTAGCTCAACATGATACAACTACTCAGATACTTCCCAGTGTCTTCCAAAGGAGGAGATTTTTAAATTTCAGCTTTTATTTATTCTTTCCTTTAGAACTTCCAATTTGTAAACTTTCAGGCTAAGCTGAAGCTAATAAAAAAGTTTTGGTTCTTTTTCCACTGACAATAGGCACGAACAGTTGCCCTGCCAGTTTCATCAAGCTGCCTACACTAGCACTTTTCTCAGCAAGAGGAAACTTGCAACTCACCTCCTTGGAATGATGCCATTTTCCAAACTTGTTGTCTGACTTCGAAGCCAGCGACGCTGGTAACTGCTGGAAGAAGATGTAGAGGAACTTGGAGATGGGAAAGGTGTGATCAAAAGACTGCTTAGTGAGGCTGCAGGAAGAATTTAGAATTTAAAAGTTGAGATCAATTAGTCATTATATAGCTACATAATGCATAACATTATGAATGTATTTAACATCATTTAACTCTACATTTATTATGTATTTAATATCACTGAGCTGTATACTTTGCCATTAAAAAATGACAAAACCTGCAATTACCTTTGCACCAACCTAATAAAATGGTTGAGATGGTAAATTTTATGTTATGTGTATTTTAATACAATCCAAAAATTGGAAAAAAATATCTATGCCAAGTAATCTAAAATTTCAGGTTCTACCAGTAATATCCAGCAGGGGGAGACTATAATTTCTCTCTTGCTAAGATTTCTAACAGCAAAGAAAACATCCTTTAAAAAGGAAAACAAATTAAAGGAAATAAGAGTGTCACAGATGTAGCAAGTGCATAAATTAGCAGGCCCATATTACAAACGCAAAATAATCATTACTCAGAGTGTAGATTGCAGATCTCTACTAAAATGGTCCACACGACATAACTATATTGCCACCTGGTATCTAATGCCATACACAATGCTTGCTTTACACACATTTTTTCCTGAGTACTCCTTCACTCTAAACTTTGAGGTAAAATTTAGGCAAATAAGTTTTTTCCCCACCTAGTATCATGTCTTCCAACCTTCATCTCCATATATACAATACTTAGCCTCCTTCCCTCCAGCCCCCACTGCTACTCTGTTGTCTGTGAAAAAGAAACCTCTACTCTCCAATATGCTCTCTGCTTGAACTACTTATTTGCTTCTGAGCCTTTCTCTGCTTCCTCCTGCTACATATTAGATGCCTACACCTGCGTCTCAGGAAGTATGAGCTGACAGTGCCAGCCCAGACTTTTCTAACCAGCAGGGAGGAGGGACTAGTCCTTCTCAGGTAGGCAAAGGGTTTCTTTCAAGTGAAGCTGCTTGATGAACATCTACTGATTTGAAAGAATGGAAGAAAACAGACTTGTTCTGCTTTTACTTCCCTAGGGCTAAGGAATTAGACATTGAAATGTCACTCAGTCCAGTGGAAAATAAAATAGGGTGCTACAGATGGCCAGTCAACATTTTCTGAAACAAATCACAGGGTAAAGGAAACTGATTTTGGTAAACACAGTATACTATGCTCATGAATATGACTTGATAAAGCAGTGTCTCCACATGAACTATTACATTTTTATTTATACTTTTGTGGGCAAACGTAAATAACCTGACTCCCCGACCTGAGCTCTTATATACTACAGGAGTTACTTTGCTATCAACTAATAGGACATGCCAGGTGTGCTAGGCGACTGGGGTAAGTGGTGGACAAGTCTATAATAGTATCAACGAACATGATGACTCAAGTTTCTTTCCAAAGCAGAGGTCTATGAGATGCTTTTCCGTTTATCTAGCTGATATTCACAGAACATTTGTTTGGTAGGTCTTAATCATCTTTGCATCCATTGTACCCATAACAGTGCCTTGACCACAGTAGGCAATTAGCAAATGCTTCCTGAACGTATGGCATTTTTTTTTTTAAACCAAACTGTTACATGTGGCTGGCCCCAGTAAGCTGACCTGGTTGCCATCTTGAGACCAGACTTAAATCCCCAAAACCAAATCCACATTTCAAGTATCACTGAACAGGTAATTTTACTGAGAATTTTGAAGGGAGTTAGAAGAGAGCTTTTCCTTGGAGTCACACAAAATTACTTAATAAAACATCCCAAATAGACATTTCTGTCCTGCCCCCTAGTTCCCAAAGTCCCCTACAGAATCCAGAAGCTCCCTCCCACATCTCTAGGGTCCTGCCTCTTTCCTTGCCTTATGCTGAGCAAATCAACTTCTGGCAGGCAGAAGACAAGGTTGACGGGGTACTTGTTGGGTAAATACTTTTCTCCTGTCACAGTATTAGGGCTTAGAAAATGGTACCCCAACATATGGTGCCCTGGCATCCTGAGCACTTTGGACCAAAGGACACTGGAAGGCCTCAGAAGTCAAGTCTGTCTCAGACCTTCTCCTGCCCTTCTTTCTCCTGCTCCTGCTCCTCCCTGCAAGGCAAATCACAGAAACTAAAATTCCTCTCTGCATTAAGGCAAGTCATAGAAACTAGATCCCCTTTCCCCCAAAGCCAGCCATGAAACCTAGAAATATTACTCTAACATTCCCCTGCCTTTCTGTGTAAGAGTTGGCTATAAAGAAATTCTTACACCTACTTTATCTGAAAGTAGATTGTAAGACCCTTAATTCCAGAAGGGGTCCAGTCCTATACCTGACAGGAAGAAATGCCACACAGAGAGATCAAGAAGAATCTGGATGGGCCCTTGCTAGGTGGGTTTTCCCCTTTGGTCTGTGACTGTAAGATCAAACTCTCTTTGTCCAATCACAATTCTACCTGGCTACCCACTCTTCACCAAATCTAAGCATAAAAAGGGACAGTTTTCCCTTGGGTCTTTGGGTATCTCTGAAGGCTCCCAAACCATATAAAATTTTGATGCATTCTTCAGTATGACAACTGCATTTTTCAACTCCAGATTTTCTGCTTCTTTTTAATTATTGCAATTTCTTCATTAAATATATCTGATAGGATTCTGAATTCCTTCTGTGTTCTCTTGAATTTTGAGTTTCCTCAACACAACTATTTTGAATTCTCTGTCTGAAAGGTCACATATCTCTGTCTCTCCAGGACTGGCCCCTGGTGCCGTATTTAGTCCATTTGGTGAGGTAACGTGATCTTGGATGGTCTTTATGCTTGTGGATGTCGGCAAGTGTCTGGGCATTGAAGAGTTAGATATTGATTGTCGTCTTCACAATCTGGGCTTGTCTGTACCCATCCTTCTTGGGCAGGCTTTCCAAGTGTTTGAAGGGACTTGGGTATTGTGATCTAAGTTTTTGGTCACTGCAGCTGTATCTGCATTAGGGGGTACCCCAAGCCAAGTGACACTGTGCTCCCCTTGGCTGATCTTAGATAAGATCTAGAAGAATTCTCTGGATTACCAGGCAAAGACTCTTGTTCTCTTCCCTTACCTTCTCCCAAACAAATGGAGTCTGTCTCTCTGCTGAGCTGCCTAGAGCTGGAGGAGGGGTGACACAAACATCCCTGTGACCACCACCATTGAGACTGCACTGGGTCAGACCTGAAACCAGCACAGCACTGGGTGTTGCCCAAGGCCTGCTGCCACTACTACCTGGTTATCGCCTATGTTTGCTTAAGGACCTAAGGCACTAAAATCAGCAGATGGTGAAGCCAGCCAGGCTTGTGTCCTTCCCTCAAAGGTGGCAAGTTCTCCCTGGTGGGTCCAGAGATGCTGTCTGTGAGCCAATGCCTGGAGTCAGAAACCTTAGGAATCTACCTGGTGCTCTGTTCTGCTGCAGCTGGGCTGGCATCCAAGCCACAAGACAAAGTCATTCCAACTCTTCCCTCCCCTGTCCCCAGGCAGAGGAGTCTCTCTCCATGTCTACCACCACCACAGGCCCACAGTGGGTACTGCCAGCCTATAGCTGATGTTCAATTAACGCCCAAGGGCTCTTCAGTCAGCTTATGGTGCATGTTGCCATGCCTGGGACTCACCCTTAGGGCAGTGGGCTCCCCTCTGGCCCAGGGCAGGTCTACAGATGCTATCAAAGAGCCAGCGTCTGGAATTGAGGACCCTAAGCGCTTGCTTGGTATTCTGTGCCACTGTGCCCAAGCTGGTACCTTGGTGCAAGACAAAGTCCTCTTTATTCTTCCCTCTGCTTTTCTCAAGCATAAGGGGCCTCTCTTCATAGCTACCACAGCAGTGACTGTGCTAGGTCACGTCACATCTCAGAGTCTCACCCAGGGCCTTAAGTCAGCAGGTGATGAATCCTGCCAGGACTGGGTCCTTCCCTTCAAGGCAGTGGGTTCCTTTGTGGCCCAGGCTGTGTCTGAAAATGTCCGGGAGCTAGGGCCTAGAATAGGCACCTCATGACATTGCCCAGTGCTCTATCCTACTGTGTCTGAGCTGGTATCCAAGTTGCAAGACAAAGTCCTCTTTACTGTTCCCTCTCTTCTCATCAAGTGGAAGAAAGGAGTCTCTCCTGGAGCTACGAACTACATTGCCTGGGGTTGGAAGATTGGCGGCACAAGCACTCCCTTAGCTGTCGTGGCTGCTGTATCACTAAGCTGTGTGCACCCTAAGTCCACTGGCTCTGAGCCCAGCACAGCATCAGACTGGCCCAGGAGTTGCAGTCCTTGTGGTCTAGACAGCCTTTCAAGTTTATTCATTTAGGACCCCAGAGCACTTTAGCCCGTGGTGGCAAGGCTTTCCAAAACTCAAGTTCCAGCTGCTGGGATGGGTGTTTCCTTCTGGCTAGGGCTGGAGTAAGTGCTCTGTGGGCGCCAGCTGAGCTCTGCCTGGCGTTGGCAGCACTGCATTCCAATGCAAAATTCTCCCCAAGCGCACAGATTCCCTTTCTGCACCACACGGTCAGGGGATTGGGGAGGAGTGGCGCTGGCAATTCAAGACTGTCTCACCTACCCTCCAACCCTCTATGAAGTTAAAACCAGGTACGGTGATTGCTCAGCTGATTTTTGGTTTTTATGAAAGTGCTTTTTTTTTGTGTGAATAGTTTTCACATTTGGGGTTCCCGCAGGGAGGATGATTGATGGAGGCTTCCATTCAGCCATCTGGCTCTGCTTCCTCTTCACCTAAAATTTTAATTAAATCATTTGTTATGTTTTTCTCTTGTTAACCTGTATTTTGTTACAGGCGTGTCAGCTATGACCCTTATGAGGGGTGAGAAAAGGTATCACACCCTTTCTGCCCCTACAACACAAGACAGAGAAGACCCTGAGGTCCAATTTATTCTGGAAATTATCTGTATTATATAATTCAGTTTACAAACTGAATAAGAGTCCAGGCTCCTAGTTCAAATCCTGCTTCTGTGTCTAGCAGCAGTGACACTTGGACAGCAGTTGACTTAACCTGTCAGCTTTGTCATCTGTAAAACGGGGACAATAAAGTACCACACCTCAGTATTCTTCATGAAAACTGCT